TTAGTTAAGTTTAGTTAAGTTTAGTTTAGTTAGTTTAGTTAGTTAGCTAGTTAGTTAGCTAGCTAGCTAGCTAGCTAGCTAGCTAGCTAGTAGTAGTCGTCGTCGTGGTGGTGGTGGTGGTGGTGGTGGTAGTAGCAGTAGGTGAAAGAGTTTCAGGGCAAAGCGCGCACACCACACATTCCTGTACCCTAAACCCCAATTTCCCGAAAGCCCTAAACCCTACTCCTTAAACCTCCAAACCCTCAGCCCTAAACACCCTCGACACGGAAAGCAGTTCCGACCAAGAAGGCGCTGGGATCCGGTTCCTACTTACCAGCACTCTGATCCGAGGCCAAGGGGATGTCATCTTGGAGGAGAACCCCGCAGCTTGCTGGGTTTAGGGTTTAGGGTTTGCAAAAGCTTACTTCAAGGCTTCTGTGGGACACTAGACAAGTAGGAGTTAGAAGGCCGTCGGGGTTTGACTTCCAGTGTTTCAGGTCCTTCAGGGTTTCGGCACCGGAAAGCCCTGGACAGTTCATGCCGGTTGTAGGCTCTCTGGCTTCAGGCGGCTATGGACCTCGAGAAGGCTGCTTATACGGGTTCTTTACTATAATTTCCGTATAAAACTCACTGAAGACGGTAGGTTCTTTGGGGTCCAGGTAGGGCTTCAGGCTCTTTAGCCTTCGCGGTTTGGGGTTTCGTGTAGGACTTCAAGCAGGATAGAGGGGTGGAAGGTCTACAGTATCTAGAGTCTAGACTTGAGCCCAGTGGTATTTGTAAGCAGTGTAGGACATCATAAGACTGCCTTGAGCATTTACGGAGAGATCAGGCTGCGGAACTTAACGAACTGCAAGAACGTCGAGAAAGTGGTCATGCGCAGCACACAGCTTGGACAAGCTAATAATGGCATGCCTGCAGAATTCAAAAGCCCTGGGGAAGAGTTCAAGACCACACGGACCACAATAATGCTAGGCGTGCCCGCATGGCTAGCGGCTATGAGACTGTCCAGCGTCGTGGATACTATTACAACCATACTGTCCAGGGCGATAAGTGCATCCTGACCCATGCCCTATAGGCCCTAGACTCAAAGCCCTAAGCGGAGAAAAAGCAAGCCCGATTCTCAACCCTAAGGGTCCAGGAACTCATATTGGGTAGTTGTCAAAATTATGGTCCCTTTTAGGGTACCCTAAATAATAGATGCCGTATCATAATAAGGACCCAAAAAGGGACCATAATTTTGACAACCACCCAATATAGTATATGGGTTGGCCCAAGCGTACCATACAAGCACACTTTCCGTGTACATGGACCCTTGGGGTAAGCACGAATCCAGAGCACGAATATAGGGGCCTTAATAATTAGAATAGGGTTTTGGGGCCCACTATACTATAACTAGTTATAAGAAGGAACCCCCGACATAGCATTATTGGTAACTATTTAGGCCCCTACATTACGGCCGAGTGTTGTGTTGGGGATCCTTTCTTTGTTCAACCCTCGGGTTTCAAGCATCGGGGGCTGCGCGTCATGCAGAATTCAGAGTTGTAGGGTTAAGGTTCAGGCTTTCAGTTTTTCTGGTGTTTTCTGGTGTTTTGCATTTTCTACAGCTGTACTTTTTTGGGGTTTAGGCTCCTAGTTGGTGTTGCCGGTGTTCAGGGTCTCAGGGACGATTGCCGAGGTGATGCTTGGTCCTCCCTCGCAGTCGGCCAGTGCACCCGAAGAGCTTCGGGGGCTTCTGGTGGAGCCTCAGCTCCGTAGCATAGCTTCACTCAGCTTTTTTTGTGCTCGCTTACTGAAGGGGGTGTAAGACAGGGTTTTCAAGTTCAAGGCGTTTCGCGAGGGTTTTCAGAAAGGTTAAACGGGGAGCTCGTCAGTAGCCTTTAGCCACTTCTGCATCCAGTATGCCTGCTTAGTTTTTGTTGTGTGTCTTTTGTGAGTTTTGTGGCCACTGAGGTCGTGATTCAACAACACGATCAGAAGCCCCACAAAGTTTGCTAGCCAAACGAAGCTCCCTAATCTGGGACCGCACCAAGCATGTTCCTTCTTACCTAGGGCCGCGGGGGTCCAAAACCAGCTAGTAGTAGCTAACTTATTGTGCTATGTTGCAAGTTGGGTATGTTTCGGGTTCCGTGGACATTTCCCTAAGGTTCCAAGGGTCCAAGTACCTAGAATAATCAGAATATACCTACACCCTAAACCCTTAACATTACCCATCTACATTCTAAGTTTAGTGCATTAGGGTTTTAGGGCTTGAGGTTTAATTTAAATTGCCTTCTGCTTGCCTTGTTTGGTTTACCACCGAATCTGATGTATAGGGTTTAGGGCTTAGGGTTTACTATTATAAGATTTCTGCCCGGCCAGGGATTGGAAATCCCGGAAACAATTATTTTGCATTTTGGTTTGCGTTGTTTTTTGCATTCCGGTTTTGTGTTGTGTTTGCTTTTGGTTGTTGGTTGCGTTTTTTTGCATTATGGCTTTGTTTGTTTTCATTGGGGTTTTGGTTGCTTGTTTTTTGCATGTTGATTTTGTGTTTTTTTTTTGCTGTCCTGCTGTCATTATTTTTTTCGACTCTTGCGGATGTGTTTTTAAATTTTCTTCTGGGTGCACATTGCTCGGTTCAGTTTCCGTTGACGCCAGTGATGCTCCTTGCCTCCACGGAACCTTTACTTGGCCCAGCTCGCCAATCTCGGAGATGTCGTTATCAAGCTTTGGGGAGGTGGGGGTGGCCCAAAGCCAGCTAATGAGGGGGATGGGCGGAGCTTGTGGCTGGCTTCGGGTGTGCCAGGCGGGAGACTGCGCGGGGGAGGGGGGGGGGGGGCATGGGGAGGAGAAGGGGGACCAGGGAAGGAACGCGTAGGCGAAAGACAAGGCAAAAGGGAAAGCAAAGCCAGAGGCAAAGTAAATGCAAAATAATGCAAAAAACAAAATGCAAAGACATGCAAAATAACTGCAAAAACCCAGGGTTTTTGCATTTTCCAGAGTTCTGGGCATCGCAGGCCCAGAGGCCAGAATTTTGCATTTTTGTTTGCATTTGTTTTGCGTTTTTGTTGCCTTTGGCTTTGCCTTCCCTTATGCCTTCCCTTTTCCTGTCTGTCGGCTGTTTGCATCGACCTTTGCCTTTCCCTCCCTCCGGCACAGACCCCAACATCTGTGTGGGGGGGGTGGGGGGTGGGCGCGCCCGCGCGCGCACGCGCGAGAAAGACCACACAAGTATATAGCACAAGGTTACACGTCATGACCTGCAGCCCTACTGAAAAGCAACACGAACTCCAGAGCAGAATGCAAAACATAACAAAGCAGGCGCAGAAACCAAAAGGAAACACCTTCACAGGACCGAGACCTCCAAGAACACGAGAAAGGACGACAACACCAGGCACAATCGAAATGCACAAAAATACACAACCCAACGCCAAAAGCAAGAAACACGCAAAACTAAAATGCAAAAAAAACACAACCACAACCCGAATGCAAAAAAATGCATAACCGGGATGCATAAACAACGCACCCAAATTCCGAAAGCACATTAAATGCAAACCCAGGACGCCCAAAAACACACAAAGCCAAATGTATAATAAATGGTTCAGAAGGCCCCTACTCTGTGGCCGAACACATCTTATAAGTTTACTAGTATCTTGAGCTGAGGTTTTCGTGGCCACTAGTCGTGTGACTGCGGCCGTTTCTGCGAGACGCACCGAAGATTAACCTTGAATTGTCCCGAGATACTGGACAAGCAGGTTTAACATTATTCAGAACCGCGCCACCCATTTTGAAGAGAACCATCAGTTGTGATCGCCGGACAGCTGCTCATTAATACATTTCCCCAGACTCGGAATGCAGGCCTACAGGCTTGCAAGCTCTCCACAATCTAGTACGTTCTTGTCATTGGGGTTCTCCATGTTCGACCAGGACATTGTTGTGATATGGTTCCTTTTGGTATATCGCACGGCCAGCCTAAACTTCCACGCGCAACGAGCACACACCCTGCCTCAGATGGGTCCCCCGGAACTGCCGGGCTTCGGATGTCCAGGTCCTGCGGTTTAGGGTTTATAAGGTTTAGGGTTTAGGGGTTCAGGGTTTAGGGTTGGGACCCTGATTCCCGGTCGTTGTAGGGCCTGAAGCATCAGTAGCAGTAGCAATACACCCTTGCATTATATCCAGGCTCTCCTGATTTATGATGCCTTTGCTGCCGTTTTCCATGTCTAACGCGAGGAATCCAAAACTCAAAGCCCGGGGCCTTGCTCCCGAAATCTTAAAAAAACCGAACCCCAGACCCTACGTCCGAAAACCCCCAAGCTCGCAGGCCAAGTCCAGAAAACTAAACTTCAACTCCTAGAAATTGAAATCCTGAATCTTGCGAGACGGACATGGTCCTCGAAAGTTCGAACTTCTGTTCTGTTCGAATCCCCGATCGGGAACACTGAGTCCTACATCCGAAGGCTTACATCCAAGAACCCTCATTGAATCCTAATAGCGCCAAGCAGCAGCCGGTATTTAGAAGGCTTGAGGCAACCCTTATGGAACCCGTCATAGAACTCTCATCGTCATACCTTGTCAAGCCTACGGTAGGGGCCTTTATGATTAGACTAGGGTTTTGGGGGGTTCCTGATTATAAATAGAGTATAAGAAAATCCCAAATCCTATTCAAACCCTAAACCCTTGGATTGCACCCTGCCCAGGCAGCGCAGACTGGAACTTCGCCCTCCATGTCGCCTTTCCCAGCGAGGTCTTCGCATTCGGGTCTTCGGGGCTTCCAGGGCCCGGGGGGGGTTCGGAGAAGAGGTTCAAGAGAAGGGTCTAGGGTTTCGGGGAAGTCGGAGCAAGGGTTCTTAGGACGTCGATGGAGGTTTGTTGATTTCGGATTCCAGGCTTAAAGATGTTGAAGAGGCGGAGGCTCAGGACTTATAGCTTCTAGTTATCGTTAGTTCAGGATCTATGGTTTCAGATTCTTTCGGAGATGCACGGTCTGCTTACAGGGGCCCTGGTGAACCAGAGTTGTGGGTTTCGTGCCATGTTTAGGGCTAAATGTGAGGGATTTCCGGGCATCGGGGGTGTGGAGCCCACAGCAGGTGTCCATCTTTCCAGAAGCCAAGACGTCGATATTCGTGCCATACAAGTGAAAACCCTGCAGAACCCCTATAGCGGCCATTAACAAGACCCTCTAGAACTACAAACCCTACACCCGACCCGTAAACCCGAAATTCATCAAGACGATGGGGCCGAAGCAGGCAAGCCTCCCAGTGCCTGGCACGCCAAAGTCAGCAGAATTCCTCACGGAGGACGCTTTTGCCGAGCTCCTTATCGGACAAGAACATGAGTTTTAGGGCTGTTAGATGTCGGATTTCCAGCCCTATCAACCCGTAACATATACACCTTGGTGCCATAAACACTATAAACATAGGCACATAAGCACCATCCCTGACCCAAAGCTTCGCCGTGCTGCAGGACTTGTCTATCTTCGCTCCTGGCGACAGTGCCTCGGGCTGCCTCATTGCCTTGGGGTTGGGGTTTCGAGTTTTAGGATTTTTGTCTTGTAGGGTTTATGACTATATGGATGCACAGATAGGAGGGTTGTTATTAATTTGTTGCTGCTTGGTCGTTAGACTGTCTTGAGTCTTGCATGCGACGATGAGGGCGCACACGCCATGACGTCGACATCGCTTGTAACCCAGAAATTCAATTGGCCCTGACCCCTTGAAGATTTCGCGGTAGCATCTGCCGACGCCCGGCTTACCTAGCCGAGCCGTTCGCAATTGCCTTGCTTTGGATCAGCCTGAATTCCAATCACCGCCCGTGTTTGGATTCTAAGCTCACGCTTGCGGCGCCATGGCCTTGGAACTCGAGTACCGCAACACATTCATCGACGTGAAGGAGGAGTTCCAAGACGAAATTCCGGCTTCCAGAAGACGCGCTCACAGCTCCCCACCGGGCCGCGCACGCTGCAGCAGCTTCGCCACGGAGATGAACGACGAAGAGGCTGCCGTGCGCAGCTACGTGGGCGGCCTCGCGCAGAATGCGTGGCTGCAGAGTGGTCAGATCTCGGGCAACATTGGGGAGCATCCTTCTCCGAGTCCGGTGAGCACCGTCGCCGGTGTGTCAGGTCTTATGCACGAGCAGATGCACACGGACGTTCTCAGTATGGGTAGCTGGGGTCACCCCGACGTATGCCGTCGCCCCTGCATCTACTTCATGTCTGGCCACTGCGAGAACGGTGAGGCTTGTGCCTACTGCCACCTCCCGCACACGGAGAAGATGGCCAAACTCGACAAGAGACAACGTGCTATGGTTCAGCAGCTCACACGCCCGGAGCTCTTGTCGATGGTGTTCCCTTTCTGTTCCCGCAAGGCAGAGGATGGGGGATTTGCGGACAAGGCAGAAGAGATCCTGGGTCTTCTCGAGATGGAGTTGGATCCTGCCGCGTCATCATCTCAGCTCTTGGCCGACCGTGAGCTTCGAAATTTGCGCAGGACACTTGCGCGGATGAGCTTCTCGAGCCTCATCGGCCTGGTCACCCACAGGTCCCCCGACCAAGATGAGGACTGGGTGGTCCTAACATCAATGTTCATGTTCGATATAACGAAAACCCAAAGGGTGATTGAGCAAAATTATTCGTTTCGCTGTGTGGGAATACGGGACTGCCGCATCGGACTCTCAATCACACCCCTCCCTCTCTCTCTCTCTCTCTCTCTCTCTCTTTCTCTCTTTATATGCAATTAGGTAGACAGCCTTCGGATACCCTAAATCTCAAGAGATCCCTAAATCCTCTACAGTCCTCAACCCTGAAACCGCCTTTGTGGATCTCTTGCGAGGACCCGGCCCTACAGTTGGCCTTAGAGAACCTTCGCTGCAGGCTTCGTTTCCATGGGCAGGTTCAGCCGTGATGTCCAGTAGGGGCACTGGTCATTCTGATGCATGGTTACTGCGTGGTTTCATAAATACGCTTCTGTGTCTCTGCGTAGGTGAATCTGATTCATAATATATATATATATATATGTATGTATGTATGTATGTATGTATGTATGTATGTATGTATGTATGTATATACGCTATATATATATACACACATCTAGATCTGTATCTATATATCTAGGTCTATACCGATAAATACATATAGACATACAATATGCAAGTCAGCATGGCAGTTGTGACATTGCCGTTACTGTTTCTATGTGGAACTCATCTCTATCTATCAGTGTGCGAGCCATGCCTAGGAATGTTTTCCAGAGCAGCCGTGCTTCCGTCGCAACCATGTCTCCACGACTTGGTAGAATTCCAGCAGTCTACAAGGAGGGAAAACACCTACTGGTTATGGGCACCCGCAAGATTCAGATTTATCATTTCCAATTCCTGTAATTCAATTCACGTTTATATGTGTGTGTATATATATGTATGTATACTTATATGTGTAAACCCCAAACCGTGTATTTATTTTGAACTCTACGCACACACACACACACACCCGGGGTATCCGGGTTTGAAGGGACTTAGTACGGGGCAAAACCTCAGCGAGCTGCTTGAGACGTCGTTTTTGTGGCACATGGAATGGCAGAGACTTGATGAACGCATGTTTCCCGTGAGGGGTCGACTGCATGTTCACTCTCGAGCCACAGTGTTGGAAGCACGGATGCTTCGAAGCGGGCAGACTTGAGCAACTAATTGCCGGGTCTTGGCAATTCTTGGTACATGGGCCGGCCGTACGGCCGTACATCCCGTACCCAGGACTCCAATATTCCTGAAGGTCTAATACCCATCCTTCAGCTTAGCGAGTGGCCCTCGGTTCAGAGATCTGAGAGTCTCTTTCTGATGCCCGTTGCAAGCGCGAAGTCCCAAAAGCCTGTCTTGCTACATCCGAAACTTACTGAGATTTCGGGATCCTCTGGGTTCCGAACATGCTGAAATGGAGCACCCAAGGTTTAGGGTTTAGGGTTTAGGAAAGTTTAAATTACTTTTTTCACTCTTTGCTATGAGGGGCCAATGCCAAGGAAAAGTTCCATGTAAACGCCACGACAGCATCCCCGCATTGGAGTCTCTGGGTCATTGACAGAGCCCAGCTTACTCTGAACGGGGGTTGTGCTGGCCCTGTCCAGTCGCGGCCATCATCCCAATGTTGCGGAACAGTTTGGCGCCTATGCCCCACCTGTGGCCGAACGAACCTACTTTTGTAATGTTCCTTCTGATGGTTTGTATCTATATACTGGGCCAAACTACCTGTGGAGGGCCTTTTGGGGTCGCTGACATCGGTGGAGACGCTTGGAAGGTTTGAGGGCTTCAGGGTTTGGGGGCTTGTGTCTCAAGTGTTCGGTTTGTGCATCCCAGGTCCAAAGAAGTGGTTGGGCTTTGATAGATTCGGGTTTAGCTGTCAGGGGCCCTCATGGGTGCGAGAAGTATATAGGGGTTGAACTCGAGGTTTACGGCTTGCCTATGCTAAGGGATACCTTATAAGCCCGAATAATTAACCCACCTTTTGCATGACTTCTAAGGCAGGGTTTATATAAATATATGTAAAGGGTTCCTATAGTTGGAGATCTCCATAACAGCTTTCAGGAGCCTGCTATTCAAGATATGTTGCTCCCAGCTGAGCTATTTTTTGCTACATGACTCATAGTAAGATGCCCTGGAAACAACACTAACCCCCCAAAAACCCTAGACCCTAAAGCCCTAAACCCTAAACCCTAAACCCTAAAACCCTAGTAGAACCAGAGGATGGGTTGCTGCATTGTAACCCGACACCCAGGACATAACCCCCAACTGATTCTTTCAACCCTAAACTTCCCGAAGTCCCCCGTTAGGCCGCGGCTTAGGGTTTAGGGCTTCTAGGGCTTCTAGGGTTTAGGGTTTAGTTGTTGGCGAATATCCCGGACGGAATTTGAGCATTTTTGCGTTCAAGGTTCTTCAACGGGATTCCTTATCATCGTTTCCGTTACAAATACAGGTTTGGGAGGCTGAGGTAAACCGCACAAGCGGGAAAGATGGCGATACCATGCCATTCCGCCGAGACATGGCTCCTTCGAGCTTGCGCGAAGAAGCTCTCCAAGACAAAGAATGGGGCCCATCTGCCCAGTGAATGGTGCTTGTAGCTTTAATTAGGTAGGGTGTCACAATAATTAAGCCCTAAACCCTAGAAGTGCTATAAGTTCTAGATAAAGCCTGCGAGAAGGGCTCTTTGCTGTATCTTGGGGCTTGCTTTTCGAGTTTTCGCGAGAGATAGGGAAATCCCCGGTGCTTGCTTTGGAGCCACCGATTCTCTCAATCCACCACGTTTAGTGAGGCCAGTAAGACACATGGACCGACAACAGGTCTGTGCGGTTGGCCGAAGTGTTTATGTCGTTCTGATTCTGGTAGAAGTGCCTGGCAGCTGTTGGCTGTTCCACGTGCTTTCCCACTCCTGGGGCGTGTGAGCCAGAGTTGTGTATGCAAGCCTTCGTCTGGACGCAGACAGAGAACCCTATAAACTCCTAAACCCTAAACCCTAAACCCTAAACCCTAAACTCCTAAACCCTAAACCCTAAACTTCCAATCTCAGTCGGAGACCCAGGGACCATTTTCCAAGGCTGAAGGGGTCTGGGTGACAGGACAGCTCCCTATCGTCATCGATGTCGATGCCTGCGTGCAAGGGCGCTTCTGCCGTGGTATCGAAACATATGGCGGGAATTCGCAGAAGAAGGGTTCCGGTAGGGATAGTATATAGAGGCCGGAATCTGAATAAGTAGGCACCAGACTATCCCTCAGGGCTCTTGTACGGTATCCCTAGATCGCACATACCCAAATTCAGAAGATCATTGCATTCATCAAGGCCCCATACTAACTGTTGAGACGAAGGGGTCTCCCGCATATTGCGGTTGACTCTAGATTGGAGCTGGTTGCAGAGACCAGTATTGCATGAAAGCGCGGCACCAGCAGGGCTTAACAGTGTTGACTCTCACCTGAGGTCCCGAACCTTGCATTTAAGATAGGGGGCCTAGATAATTACCAGTACTATTTCGGGGGCTTCCTTACCGTAACATTGTATAATATGCCCCAAAACCCTATTCTAATTATTAAGGCCCCTACATTTGATACCCAGCCTCCCTAAACCCTAAACCCTAAACCGTAGCTCTCAAGGTTCAACTCTACGGATCCCCATGCCGAGCACTACACAAAAAAACATCTCACTCCCCCGGGTTTAGGGTTTAGGGTTCAAGAATTGTCCGGGGACTTCGGGGAAAAATTCTAAGGAAGGACGTAAGTCTAGACTAGAAGGTCCTGCATGGTTAGAAGAGGGCTTGAGAGGTATAGTATACAATGGTTATAGGGTCCATGAGACGTTATGATTGTTGTGTGAAATAGTGTTATGATCACTGGTATGATTACCATTGCCATTATGCTTACTGTTATTACTAAGACCTCGATCAATCGATCTTCGGTTTGGGCAAACGGCAAGCCTGATCCATCCCTCGCTGTCCCGCTTCGCACGTGCGTTGTGGTGAAGATTGT